GAGTGAGTAAATAAAATCATTTTATATTCTAAATATAAAATTTTAACTTCCGATACTTTTGATTCATATAAAGAATTATTGCAAACAGAATATTTATCTTAAAGCATAAAAAATTGTTACCAAGTTCAATTAAACCGAATAAAGATGTTTGTGAATAGGATCGAGACAAGTACGAAATAATATAATTCTAAAAATTTTATACTGCATCGACGAAATTAATTTTTATGTTTTTCGATGCAAATTCATAATCTCTTAATTATTAAATAGTTATTATCTATAAAATTACCAGTCATTAGGGTCAAGTCTAACAACATGTTGGAGCGTCTTAATAGCTTGCTCCGCATTTCCTCGGTCAAGATATTGTAAACCAAGTTGTAACCATGCCCACTTAGGTCCACTGCCTTGTGTAGTTAATACTTGCAACAACTGTATATTCGCATCCTGAAAATAATATTTTGTGAAAGTAATTAAACGAAAAATTATGAAATTTTATATATTCAAATAAATAACGAATAATAAGCATTAAAATACGTAACAATAAACATGTATTTCATATTTTCACATAAGGTAATATTTATCTGTACTTACTTGATTTTTAAGAAGCCTATACGCTGTACTTAAACCGATACCAGCTTCTTCAGAATTTGGATTGATTTTTAATGCAGTCTGATAACATCTTCTAGAACGTTCCAAGTCATTGCCATATTCGCGATAATAATGCCCCAAATAAATTAGGCATTCCCAATTATAACGATCGGCTTTCACTCCATTTAAGAAAGCCATTAAACTGTAATTATACTCGGTCATTTCCCAATATATTACACCAAGAAGTAACCACGCTTCAGACGTTTCTAAGACTGAGTGAAGAATATTTACTGCTTCGTCGAACTGTTTATTTTGTTTCAAATATAGTGCACGAAGAATACTAGCTTCCATTTTGATGTTATGTTGGGATTCCAAATTGTTCAGTAGAATGTATGCATCTGATTGATTCAACAGTATACTAATACGTGTATGAATCAGATGTAATTGCGTGGAAGGGCGTACCTTTAAATACTGATTAAAAAATACATAGATACAGAAACGCATAAACAACATTAAATATAATAAATTGAATGTCAAAAAATTGGTTACACGGTATATATACAATATACAAGAATTACACTGTTCATTTATATAATGTACAGAGCTGTCTGAGAACATTTATCCTATTTCTGTGTTCTATCAATCTCGTGTGCGATTGATAACATTTTATAGAAATAAAAAATAATGAAGAAAAATTGAAATATATTGCTGTAGTAGTTTACACAGGATGAAACAAAATGTATCACCTGAAATAATCCGTTTATCGGAAAATTATGAAAAAATTATAGCATTATTACAGTAAAAAAAAAAAATAAGAATATTTTCGAATCCCCTCCATTATTCTCCATTATTCCAATGCAAAAACCATTTATACCACATTATATCTGCCTCTATTTCATGCAAAATTAACTAGTTAATTCTCGAATATATTAATTCTTCTAGACATAGTCACCAATTTAATTTGTTTCGACCTTCTTTATATTGTAACCTCCTTTTAATAAAAGGCACTTTTAATCAAATAAAATGTAAGAATCTATGTTATCTACAATATAGTTATTTACAAAATATTTGTCTGATTTGAAGATATCGGTATCAAAGATGACGCGTATAATTTGACAGGCGTATTTTTCATGTCAAAATTGCAATTTATTATATTAAACGAACCAAAATAACTGTACATGGGAGTTTGGAGGTCCGGAAATAAGTGCGAAAGATCCAATTCTTTGTTATTTATACAAATTTTAATTGACTGAATAGATATTTCAAGCGATAGATGCGTAGAAGTTAGAGCCAAGTACCCTCCCACAATGAAGTGGGATGATACATAGTAGGCGAAATTTCCAGCTAACTCTGATGAATAGTAGGGAATTTAATAAACTGATTTTAGTAGTTGACTATAAAGAACAGATGTAAGTAGAGACATTCCCAATGAAAGCAAACGGAAAACCTACAAGCGACCAATAAATTGTAATAACCGAATAGAAGAAAGTTTCGATAACAGGTCTCTACGTTAGTTGCCGCATCCTTGTACAAAGAACACGACAGTATTTCATGTGTAATGAAATTTTGTCGAGATAATGAATTATAAAGACAGAAAGAATTCAGAAGGAAACGTTCCAAATAAAAGGTGAAATTCTAAAATAAGTAAAGATTTTAAGATATTAGTAGGAAACTTATCTACGTGTTATAAAGGAAATTCTTTGCCGAAAGAGGTCTATATAGAACTCCATAAAGACATAATCACGTATGTTAGGGTATTATTATCATGCATCAAACACGTGCGTGAATGTTATAACTGTCTAAGGGTTGTTCATTGAAATACGTGTTTCGTGTCCGAGTTTAATATGTTCTCTTGTTAGTGCCAAACGATTTTGAATACATTGTTAGAAATAATAAACTTCTAAGTATGCTATCATTTTGTCTTACATTGTATATTAAGGAGGATATTATTTTTTGTATCTTACAACAATCGTAGGTATATCCCTACGTATATATTTCGTATCGTATCCTACGACAATCCTACTTTAGATCCTACGATTCTTACGATTGTACTATTGCATGAAAAAATAATGCAAGTAAAACTTCATGCAAAGGAGTATAATATGAAGTTAGGAGATCTAGTTGATCTAGTAAATTATGATTGCAGAGTCAAAACAAATTAAGACAAGAGTATCGAGTGATTTCGCGAATTTGTTCTTATGAACAAGAATGAAAGCGAAGACGACTACATCAATAAGGCTGGTGATTTTAAAAATCAATGTACGTAATTGACAAAAACGAAAGAAGAATTTGAACTAAAAATGTATGTGCTACATGGGCACAGAGAAGAGTCTGGTCAAAACTTAAGGACATTGGAAAGTCAAAGTTAGGCAATGATCAATGATATAAGGTATTTGCTGAAATTAGAAGAAGGTAGAAAGGGGCAATGAAAAGAAGAAAGAGCGTAGAAAGGCCATGATGATGTAAGAAGGAAGAAAGAAGAATGAAAAATGGCGTTAACTGCTATACTTGTGGAAAGAGAGACCAGATAGGAACCGAGTGCTATGGTAAGTAAAAGTGTTTCAACTGCCAATGATATCGACATATGTTAGCAGAGTACAAGGAAACAAAGAATTATATACATACATGTTCGAGGAAGTGAAAACTGGAGAGGCAACGGAAATGGATATGAAAAGAAGAGGGGGACAATGAATACAGCAGATGATGCTGTGACGATTGTGTTTGACAAATCAAGCCTACGTAAAGTGACAAAATGAATAGGAAAGTATTATACGCTACAAATAAGACTTTGCTAACAATGGACTTGCAAGGGTGGATACGGATCCGTGCAGACGTATGCGTCTGCATACCAAGCCAATGCTCCTCACAACAGTGATAGATATAATGCCTTCGAGACAAGAACATTGCAGAAAAGGACAAGTTTACATCCACACGGCTGAGTAACTCCACTGACACTCCTATTATCACAGGCAGTGACCGTTATTGGTCGAAGATGGTGAGGAAGATCATCAATCACCGTTTTCTATGATCAAGGGAGAATCAGCGGAGTTAATGAGTCGTGAGAATGTTAACACGCTGTCTCTTCTTTTTTCAAACGCACAATACCATGTCGCAATTTTGCACGCTACAGTGCGCTGTATCGCAGATGGCTAATTAAAAAATAATGAAGAACCTATCCCACACTCGCAACAATCATCCAAAACATTGAAAAAGTTTACTATAGGCGTACAATACGACCCGCAATGCTTGTCATCACGTGGAATTATTGAAAACTATTTGTCATAATTATTGTTTATAGTGAGAAAAAAGGTTCCAAAGACACATATCCCCTATTTTAATCCATAGATCACATGTACTCATTTACATGAAAATCAAATAACATTTAGTATGATTAACATTAACATTGGTATGAAATTTGATTCTAACCTATTTGGTTTTCGAGATGTTACAAGAAAATATGCTTTTAACCTTTATCTTTGAGGGTTGATTTTACTTCTACAACGAGTGTCGGTGATTTAACGTGCGGCCCTTACCCTTAGGATCTAATCCACATGGTCCCCATGGGCGTGGGATTGAGATTCGCTCAATCAGCGCGTTCCGGCGCGCACCTTACACACGGAACTACCAATCGTCCACTTGACTCAACGGGGCATGGTATGCAAGTCCCACTTGTCACTCTTGGTACGGACGGGACTTCTCTAAATCCCTATCGACTCTACAGGCCGGCGCGGAAGCTGTTCTGGTGCAAATGACCCGCCGAGAACTCAAGGTCTCTTGCCTGAGACGTTGACATAACCACTACCCCCGCCAGTCTAACCTAGCGACCGACGAGCGGACGGCTAAAAGCTGGCAGCACAGGGCTAAATTGGTCTCCCGCGGTATCAGGGCTCAAGCCGTCCTGATCATACCTGTCATGAGATCATCCCACTTTCCGATTGAGACAGCTTGCATACCTTGACCTAGGTTTGACCAACTCGGACCCCTTAGGGTCTGTTGCGTTCCAAACATTCCAATTCACACGATGGGGATTTCGCGGGGTTGTGAGGCCCATTTACGCGAATGCGACAATGTTGCTGGAATACAGCCTACTCTAAATTAATGGAACTAGACCTGGTTAAGGTTGAACTAAATAGTTGTGATATGTTACTGTCTCTCGCACCGAGTTGATCGTCGCGGGTCTTGACTGAAGATCTGGTCGTGATGCTTGTCTTGTTTTCGTGGGATTTTTAGGAGAACTCGCTGTCTCGACAGTTTTATAAGTTTTGTGTGTCTAGTGATTGGTTGGTGTGAAATGTAAGTGGTGTACATGTATGTCTCCCTATTGGTTGTGAATAATGTTGGAAGTGTGTGTTAGCTTGAACGTCTTTCGGTGGTGATGGATGTTTAAACAAATTGGGTCCTGATGCCCATCGTCTTAGGGGTGATTTATTGGCCCTTTCTAAGGTTCGGCCAAGTAGTGGCCAGGTGACAACGAGTGTATACAAATCAAGGGACGCTGGCAATAAGGACATAGAACAGTCCTCCATTTAACTTGGGACGTTCAGTTCTGGAGCCGCAACAGGGTCGTTAAGCTCATACTACGGCGACCAAGGTCAACCGCAGACTCCGCGAGGGATTTCACTTCTACAACATGAACGATTTCCGAGAAAAGAGAAAAGAAAAAAAAAAAGGAAAAGGAAAAAATACGTGTCGAATACTTTCTTAACAACTCTCACATAAATTTCATAAAAATCGGCATGTGCCATTTGAATGTTGCCCCTTGTAAGTTAAAGACGACTGAAAATCAAAAGACTAATTAAGTGTGAACAAGTCGGAAGACTGACTACTAAGTCAAAAAAGACTGATAGGTCAAGAACTGTTTGAGAAGTCAAAGGACTGTCCATTATGAAGTCGAGAACGAACTTTAGGAATGTCGAAGGCTGCCTCCGTGATTCTCCTTATGTAAGAAAATCGCCGTCAAACGGACCGAGATAGCTTTGTACTCGCGGAAACTCTCGATCGTTGTATAACAATCAAGAACCAGGCGCAGCGAATGAAGAAGCTTCCACGTGTGAGGAAGCGTCAGCGGGCAATTAGTGTGAGACCACCGAGTGAAATAAATCTCTTTTGAAATAAGATGTTTTTGAGTTTTGAAGTTTTTGACCCGTATTCATTCGCGTCATCCTTTCCACACCCTTTACACTTACAACTATTTTATGGAAAATTGACAGTTTGTCAAAGGGAAAACGTTTCCCAATTGGCAATTAATTGAATAAAGAACGTTCCGTTGGTTCATGAATCGGTTATCCTGAACAAGAAAAACGTCCCCCGAACAAAAATTGTAATGGATGAAACCTCTTCTTCAGGGAGAGGTGTACCGATTGAGGTACAGGGGAGTCAGCTGCACGTTAGTGAAAAAGTAACCGTGTCGATATCACCTTTCGTTCTCTAATGTTGTGATACCAATTTACTGTTTGTTGTTAAATTTACCGATAATAGGTATTGTATGATTTTCAATAAACTAAATGAAGAAATATTCAATAACATTCATCTACATAAAATAAACGAAGCGCTATCACGCCGATTAGGATTTCTCGACATAAAACAGAAGAAGCGCTATCGCGCTGCTTGGGTCCTCACGCACTCGCTTAGAGAAAGCGCGGTCGCACTATTCGGGATTCTTCGACAGTGTTTTTTCAAAACCCTCTGGGACTCAAATGGTTATTATTGGGCATAACTGCAAAAGAGATTTTCATGGAAATCCCACTTGAGTACGAGGCAAAGAGTAACTGTGCGTATAAATTGAAGAATAGCGTTTATGAGTTGACACAGGTAGGTCGCTTTTGGAACGAGTACCTGACATAAGTGTTGTTGAAGAATGGATTAATTCAATGGGAAGAAGATCTATGTCTGTTATTAAAAAAGGACGCTGGCATTTATTTATATTGTGCAATATATGTTGAGGACATGGTGATAGTTGCGAGCAATGGGAATTTCAAGAATAAGTATATAAAACGAAGAATTTGAGTGAACCAAACTATTTTCGGAATATAAATTGACTAATATGAGGGAAGAATTGAAGTGCATTTGAAAAATTACCTCTTCAAACTGATTGATTTATCTGGCATGGCTGACTGTAACACAAGTGCTACACTAATTCACCACAATATGAAGATGCCTAATAATAAGACTAGTGAAAAATACAATAAAGAGGACTATCAAGAACTTGTTACGAGGCTAATGTATCTTATAGCATTTATTAGAAGCTATGGCGGAGAGGGTGAATCACGTAGATAAAGAGAGTGCGTTTATTTACTTTTCCCATTGTAATAAATAAATGTTATATGAAAAACATTCATATTTTCCACACTTGCATCTTCCACGGTATAGCTGCAAATGGTCTCTGGAATTTGTACTTCACTAGTGGAACAATAGATCAATGTAAATATTTAGATACTTGAAAATTAAATTTGGAAAAGAATACCAGAAAATAAACATTTCTGAGAAAAAAGGGACAAAAGGATTTAGAAGACTTTCTTTTAGGAATCTTAAAGAGACTTGTTAATCAGTCATTTGAAATTTCAAGAAACTTCACATCAAGGTACTTTAAAATGACATCGGATAAAGAGTATATCGTTAGCGGATTTCAAAAGAAAACATTTCAATATTCTACACTGCCTAGGAGTAATAGATAAAGCTTCAGAGCAAATTTCTTACAAAACGATGCCATCTGCCGTGTTAAAACTCTGATGATCAACCACTGTACCAGATCGAGATTCATGAATGTTTGAAGAAAATGTTGCACTAAGAGAAGAAATTGTGTTTTTGCAGAGCGTATGGACCTGAAGATAAAGAGTGAAGGTATCGAAGAAATGGTGCATGACTACAATATTAAGCTGATTATTGAGAAGTTGCAGGATCTTCGTATAGAACAGCGGCATAAAATAGCTGAGGAAGTGTTTGCAAAGGAAGAGAAAATAATCAATACGAAAAGTATGTCTAATGCAAACGTATAATTATTAAATCGTTGAGCTAAAACACTGAGTCTTGTAAGGGACTGACAGCCAAATCTTACAGTTGCAAACAGAATCATTAACCACTCAAATGATAATGTAGCGAAATATTTTAGGGAAATATTGAAATACGAACAAAAATATAGAACATATAGAACATATAGAACATATACTATTTTTACAGAGAAACAAGAAATCACGATTCAGCTAGCGGATTGGAATAAAATTATTAATTAATTAATGTTACAAAATTATTTTCATATATACATACATATACATACATACATACATATATGACATACTATTTATTAAAAAATAATGAGGAAAAGAAATCTTTGCAAGTAAATACATCAAATGTTTTATATCTATTAAATGATGTGGGGACGGATTTGAGAACGAATTAATCATAGGACGGATTATGTTCGAATTTTGAGTCTCCAGTGTAACCTGAAACATAGAATCACTTATAAAATAACGTATAATTTCTATAGACTCTTTGTACCTTTCAGAATTGAAAATAATATTTGAAATAAAACGATTAACTGTTAATAAAACTGCAACCTTTTTTTTTTAAATGGATATAGAATAGAATGGTATATTCTATATCCGTTTGTAATACGTTATATAAAATTTTACGAATATATTTATAAAAATATTTATAAAAAGTGTCACAGTAAAGTACTGCTTATTTGACAAAACTCTAACTATAGCATGTGACAGAATTCAAAATACACCAAAACTTTTTCAACGAATTCGGTAGTCTCTGAAATGAAACGGAAAAAATATTGCGGCAAGATAAAATAATTGTCAGCATATTTTTTTAAACTACATGTATATATCGTCACTAGGTCGTTCTTGATTGACGACGATTAGTGACGGACGGCTCTTTGAGAAATTGTGCATAGTTTCGGGTAGTAAGTGGGCTGTAAGAGTTATCCTGATACTGCGTATTTTTATATGCCGTATGTTACAAGGTCTACTATTTATAAGGACCCTTGGAAGGACTATGTATTTTGTTGTTGAATGATATGAATAACGGAGTTTCCGAATTTCAGGTGCAATGGTAGAATTGACAAACGATTTTTTGGAAAAACGAACTGAATTATTGCTCCATACTCCAGGTAGTTGGCGTATGTGGTGGCCAAGCGTCAATGTATTATCGTGTTTTACCTGGGATACAGGGTCGGCAATATGGTATTTCTTAATGCGAATAATAATACCGCCGAAACGGTGTTTGAAGGATTAACATTACAAATTTTCAAAATGTTAGCTGGTACACCAAAAACATTTATATCCTGACAGGAAACAGTTTTCGAGCCTAAGTTTATACGAACTTTTTTAACCTTAGATTTTTTTATTCTTATATGTTGTGTGTGTGTGTGTGTGTGTGTGTGTGTGTGTGTGTGTGTGTGTGTGTGTGTGTGTGTGTGTGTGTGTGTG